TGAAGTTCACTTTCATCTCATCTGGTTGGGAAGGATCCGCATCTGATGCAGGAGTGTTGCGGTCTGCTCTTGGCAAGGGATTTACTGTGCCAGCAGGCAAATTCTATCTTGTAGACGGTGGATATGCAAACACACCATCATTCCTTGCTCCCTACCAAGGAGTTAAGTATCATCTCAGTGAGTTCAGGAGACGTGGCCAGAGGAGAAATGCATATGCCAACTACAAGGAATTGTTCAATCATCGGCATGCGATTCTTCGAAATCACATTGAGAGGGCCTTTGGGGTTCTCAAAAAGCGGTTTCCAATTCTGAAAGTGGGGACACATTACCCAATTGAATCTCAAGTTATGATTCCAGCAGCTGCTACTGTGTTTCACAACATCATTAGAGTGTTGAATGGGAGTGAAGAGTGGCTAGACATCCTACCTGATAATATCAACCCATCAAATTATGTCGACATGCCAGAGGGAGACACTAACTACCCAAGTGAGATGGAATCAAACCATGGAAATACCCTACGAGACCAGATAGCCCATCAGATGTGGGCTACCTACAATGTGTAGGATAGTAGTGTTTGGAATGTAATTTATGAGTTATGAGTTATGTATTTCTGTAATACATTATGTGATGCAACATTCTGTAATAAATTCTCCAATATATTCTATAATATGTTATGAGTTATGTATTTCTGTGTGATGCAATATTCTGTAATAAATTCTCCAATACATTCTATAATATTTTATGAGTTATGTATTTCTGTAATTATTTCTTGTAGCAATGTCGAAGGCAAGGGCTACATGGAACTCTAGATATGAGAAAGGGCTTGTTGACATTATGAGGGACCATGTGAACATCCCCTTGTTCAGGGGTCAGAATGGATGGAGTGGAGAGGGTTGGAGAAGTATCTCAGAGAAGTTTACCCAAATGTATCCTTTAGCATGCTTCACAAAGCAAAGCAGCTACAAGAGAAGGAAAAGGAGCTAAAGGGCATTTGGAAGGCGATACATGTAGCGTTAAAGGATAGTGGTGTTGGTTGGAATGACTCATTGGCCATAGTCATTATGAAGCGGAAAAATGGAAGAAACCGATCAATGTAAGATTTTTTCATTGAACCAAAAATTGTTGCCATATTCAGTTGCAAGTACTAACTATCTTTGTTGTCTTGGTATTAAATAGGATAATGGAAAAATGGCTAGGTTCCAGAAGAAGCTGTTTCCTTTATATGAAGACTGTACGTCATTGTATGCTGGTATGTTATTTGAAACTTCTCTCTAAGGTTACAGTAATATTTGTCTTTTTTTATTAAAAAACATAGATTGTGCTTTTTAGTGTATTCTAGTCCTAAAGGATTTGAAGAAAATGTATCTCTTCGTTAATATCCACCCCTTATTACAAAACCCTATCTTAACTATTTTTTCTTATTAATCATGAGGAGGGCTTTCTCTCTTTCCATCATTCTTCATCTCACGTTGAGCTCTTCACAATGTCTATTTCCGTCAATCCTTGATCTCACGTTTACTGTGCATTGAGCTATTCGCAATGTCTGTTCCCATCTTAACTGTTTACTGTACAAAACCCTATCTTAACTGTTTTGTTGTGTTTTTTTTCCTTTTACAAAAAGAGTAAATAAACTTTTTAACTTGTTGGTAATTACCACACGGACCATATAGTGGCGGCATTGTGTATGGATTTTAGTCCTACTCACACCACTAGTCATAACTGACAGATATGCTGGACTGAATTGTTGAGATTAGCTAGTGTAGAAAATCCAAGAAAATAGCATGTGGCCTACATACATAGACACAATTTGTTCTCACCTGTCACTCTGGATGAGGACCATACAAGAAGTTACTAGGAAATGAAGTGAAATGAAAATAAAGAATCCACCGCAGTGAAATAAAGAATGAAAATAGGCGGTTCTTGAGCCAAAGATTACAAAACCACGTGAACAAAAGAAACCAACTAACAAAATAGCAAATGTTTTAAATATAGACATTAACGGTGTTGGATTTTTACCTCCAACGGCTAAACTCGTTACACAATCACGGTGGGCAAGCGGTGTTGATGATTTAAACACTCCAGCAGATGTGGGCCATCAATTCTCGACAAATCAATTCCCCTATTGTTTAAGAAACCATTATTACTTCCATGATCCTGATTCAAACTGTTGTCATCAGCTCCTCGAGACAGTTGTGTTTTATCATCTGACTCAACAGCACTAGAGTCAGCGAACATCAACGATAACTCCCCAAGGAGTAAACATCTAAAACTCCTATTTTTTTGCATAGGAAGTGTTGCTACAGGAGATCTAAACTTCACATCAACTGAGCACTTGCAGCCTGCTCCTCTTGTTCCTATTTCTTTGCTCCAAATGCCCTCCATTGCTCTCGTCGCTCCATTTGCTCCGATTGCTCTGTTGCAGTGTCTGATAGCACAAGTCCAGGTGCTACTTTTGATGGGCTAGATGTCTCAAGTGCACGCAATGAAGCTCAGTCTGCACCTTCCAATCAAGATTCTGTGCAAGGAACGAGTGGTGGGAGAAAGCGTAAGCAAAGTCACATTGGTGTTGCTATTGATGGTTTTGTGCAGTTTAAGAAGATGCAAACAAGTAAAACAATGGAAGCACTCAATGAAAAGAAGAAACAAGACGAAGCATTTTCAGTCGACAAGTGTCTCGATGAAGTTGATGCAATGAAACTTACTGATGTGGAGAAGGCGTATGTTATGAATATCTTCAAATCTGAGATTGACAGGGAGGTATTCATGAAAATGAAAAACAAAAATGTTCGTTTGATTTGGCTCAAACAACAGATTAGGTAATGCTTGGCTGCCACTGGATTAGTTTACTTTGGTATGACTTAGCTGCTAATGCTTTTCCTTGTGCTTACTTGCAGTGCTATCTGTGGAGGCAATGTTGGTGGAGGCAATGTTTGAATTGAGAAGAAAAACGCAGCTGCAGTCATTGTATGCAGGTATATTATTTGAACAACAGCTTGCACTTGCCAACAGCTATGACTGCCGATTGATCTTATTTTTTATTAGCCTAGGAATTTGCATGTCTGTGAGATAGTAATCATATACATGGATTTTTTTTCATGGTTCTACACATGGTATAATAAGTCTCCCTGTTTGTTGGTGTTAGCTGTTGGGTGAAGGACTGAACCTACTGTGAGTTTGTGAGACTTGTCCTGTTGCATTGCATTGTTCATTGCTAATGGATGGAGGAGCCAGTTTGTTGGTGTTAGCACACAGAGACCCACTGGCTATGGCTGGTGTCTACTTCTCTGAATTGTCTCTTGAAAGGGAGCAGTAGAATAATCTTCTGTTTTTTTTTTGTTTAGCCCTCAAGCATTGGCAGATCCTGATGTAGCTATGTCTTTCTGTTTCATGCAAGTTTGTCACGTTACACTTGTTTTTTTTCCAAATCCAGCATGCATGTTTCATGTTTTTTTTTCTAAATCCAGCATGCATGTCTTCCTGTTCGAATGCTTTCTTGTCCTATACCAGTACGGTTGTGTATTTCATTTATCCTAGTCTGAACTGATAGATAGCCATAGGCATCATGAGAACAATCTCCTTTTTACCTATGTTATATGTATTTTGGCCATATACAATAGTATTTTCCAGAGCCGGACATATCATGAGAGATCACCATTTTCATTATTGTGTTATACTGCAGATGTCTCAAAGTGGAAGCAATGCATGATTTAAAATAAGTGAAGTCGTAACTTTTGATAGTACTTTGCTAGATGCCGAAGACATTGAATGTAAGGATGGTCAATTTTGAGATGATTGAAGTATATGATTATGACTTCACCATTTTCTATTGGATTTAAGGATGTAGAACAATATGTATGAATGCTACTAGTAGTTGATTAGATGTCGAGATAATACTTTTATGCGTTTACTAGATTTGGTTTAAGGTCTGAATTATGTTTGTATTTGTATGGTGAGACTTGTTCCTGAGATTTTTCATGATTTTATGGCTCTGACATTGATATGTAGTGATTTTTTATATTATTCACCTCTTTTGTTTTTTTCTTTATTTTTTGCTATTTTTCCTGATTTTTTAAGACATGGTTTCTCACGGACTCACAGTAGCATTCCTAGGCTAATATGTTGGGTGCTATCTGTGAGAAACCATGTCTACTGTGAAAAACCACCGATTTCTTCCGTTCCCGACAGAAGCAGGGGAAAAAGGTTTCCAAAGAGCAGCAGATGAATGATCCCGCACGTGAAATCTTCCCTGGAGAGGAGAAGGGGATTATGATGTCCAAAAAAATTCCTCCCTTGCCGTTTTCTTTCCTGGGTTAATCACCCTGTGTTGCCAAAGCAGCCCTAACGGTGTTCGTTACTGTAGCCCGCTCGTTGCCGCCTCTCCCTCAGCTCAATCCTTCCGAATCCTAGCAGCCACGTAACAGTGTTCGTTCTACGTTGTACCGGTTCGTTGAAGGAAATAGGTGGCTGACGAGGACATGAGAGAGAGCATGTTCATTTTTTCGAAGGAGAACTGACATGAAAGCATGCTCCTCTTTTTTTGGGGGGGGGGGGGGGTGGGGGGAGGAGATCTGCATGTCATTTTATTAAGAAATAGGATCATGTGATATTTGTTGGGTATATGAATAAATCAATAGTCACCCAGTGTCTCTTACATAAATCCCAAATGCCTAGTCTAAAATCTGAAAGGAGACCCGTACTCTAAGCTCTACCCATTAAGCCATCAAAGAATAAGTACAATCGCCCTGAGGGCAAGCCTCTATGTTCCCACAAGAAGAAAAGATAGTACACAAGCAGCGAACCTGGGTTAACCCTGATCTTCAGTAGGCTTTACATAAATTTTGGATTGCTTCTGGCGCTGCATACTATGTACAATAGTTGAAAGTACATGATCAATAGAAAGAGCTCATGGATTGTGTTGTCGTTGTTGACCTACGCAGATTGCAACAAAAGGTTCGCCGAAGCCTTTGGAGTCTCCACATAAATGGATAACTTACATCAGGTTACAGATCCCATCGTTTCTTCACATTGAAGAGGAAAACAGGATTTCTGAGATTATCCTGGGGTACTTGAAGCATAAGCTGAAGTTTTGTTTTCATTGGCGCAGTCTTCGCTTTGCCCCCTTCTTCTCCAACCTAACATAAAAAAACAACCCATAAAATTAATATATTACTCATGTCATTGCAATTCAAAGTTTCAAACCATCAGAAGGCCATGATAGTTTCAGTGTCAATAATGCTAATTGTCAATGTGACATAGGATATAAAGGTTGATCCATGACAATCATCGCTATGTTATCCTCAAACAACCATTTTACCAAAGGTGCCAACAAGAACAATTATAGTCCCTAGGATTTAAATTCTCAGTGCAAAATATGGCCAATATCTTATGTTCAATGTACTCATTATTAAAAGTGCATTCCACAATAAATTGAGAAACAGCAATACCATTCGTAACACCTCAGGGCTTTGGAAAACTGAACAGCAATCTAATACCTTGGCAAGTATCCTTATTTCAGGGTTCAAACAAGAAAATAACTTGGCACCTACTCTACTAGTATAAGGTTCTCTATAAATACAATAAAGGACACGCATAACTGAAACCTGATAGTCTATGGAATTTCCCCCCAACAAACACAATCTTTATATAGCAAAACCAAACCACAATTACTGCATCTCCTTATGGACATTGTATTTTGGTTTTATTCATTTTTCCCAACATAGTGTCACCTTGAATACATTGTGTGATAAAGGTTGCAATCACCAACATTCCAACAATAAGGAAGAAGTGTGAAATGCAAGTTTTGCTTATTTTCAAACCCATCTGTTCTATATCTTATAACCACAGTAAGAGATGCTGCTGTTCCATACCCAAAGAGAAGCCCATCCGACTCGCACCTCAGAATCATAACCAGCTTTCACTTTGAAATTTTTACCCACTGTATGCTTATAAACAGCATTCCAGTCATCAGTGTCGAAGCTGTAATGATAGCTGAAAGGAGGGGAAGTCAATGTTACAAATGTCCACCAGAAGAAAAATAAAAAGTCTACTGCAGAAAGAGAATGATGCGTGTTGCATGCAACATGTAGTATTCCTTCAAAACAATTGCAAATAGTTTCTTTCAACTTAAATCCCAGGAATATGATGACCGTAAGTGCTAGCAAGTTGCAACTGCATAGATTGTAATGTTCGATAAAAAAACCATAAGAAAATAACCAACAAAATAGGGGAAAAGACACTGAACTACTGAAGATAGCCCAATTTTCGTTTGTAGTTATTTAATTATGCTACTCCCTCCGTTCCAAATTATAAGACGTTTTAGCTTTTATAGATGCATTGCTTTTACTATGTATCTAGACATAGTGTATATCTAAGTGCATAGCAAAAGCTATGTATCTAATAGAAAAGCTAAAATGTCTTATAATTTAGAACGGAGGGAGTATGTAACAAAACAGTTAGCATGAACACTGCAGTGCAGTGTTAAGATCCCGGAATACCACCAACATACAGGCAGGGCATGTTGCTGACTTTTAAGAATCTGAAGATAAACTTGCAAGATCATTAAGGGATCATATAAGCATGATCAGAAGTTGCAAAATGCAAGAGTGTTTTAATCAATAGTTCAAACCCTTCAGGTTCAGTGAAGCAAACTTCGTGTGCAGATAAAGTAATTGAATATTGGAAGAAGTCCATTTTACTCCCCTTATTAAGTACAGCCCAAGTCCGCTTACCCATTAAACTAAGATTTGGCTTTGGCTTATTTAACCCCCTCTCTTTCGTAAAAGAGTTGGTGCATTGTGGAGTCAGTTGTGATATCAATGTGAGGAGAGGTAGAGGAAGATCGAAGCTGACATGGGGGGAAGCAATAAAAAGAGATTTAAAGGGTTGGGATATACCTAGAGATCTTTGTTTGGATAGGAGTGCTTGGAAAACAGCTATTGACGTGCCTGAACCGTGACTAGGGGCTCATGTTGGGTTTCAACTCTAGCCTACCCCAACTTGCTTGGGACTAAAAGGCTTTGTTATTGTTGTTGTCTTTCGTAAAAGAGTTCATTTTTCACCTTTTGCTCTTACGGCAGCCACAATGTGCTCCAAAAGCAGGTAATAGACAACAAATGCCCTCCTACTGCTGGGTAGTAACCATTGTGGAACCAGTAAAGAACAAAAACCCCCAATAGCACTATAGTGGTGGCTAGTTAGAGAGTTAGGGTTTGTATGGGTGAGATCAGTTTGGCACTTGGTATGCGCAATATATGGGTGTCACAGTTACAAGCACGGTAGAGATAGGGAATCTTCACGTACAAGTCCCCCCCTCCTTTGTGATTCCAAGAAGCCATAGCAAGATGGAGATACTTCAACTACTACAATACAGAAAGGAAGGTAGTAAACTTGTATTTGATTTGAATTTGCTACTTGAGTTTGTGTGATCGATGCATTGTTTGAAGCAAGAATATGCAGGGCTGTGTACATCAATTGATGAAGGTAACAAGACAAGCTTCGTGAAACTGGTTCCTATTTCTGTAAGAGAGAAACAGAGAGATGAGAGGAAGGCGGAAAAGCCAAGGAGAAACGAGTTTTAGGCAGCAACATGTATGTCAAGCACCAGTTTCCATGTCAAAAGAAGGCCAAGCTATAGCATTCTTGACCAGCAAAAGTGCTCAACCCTCTCTCCATGGAGACGAAACCAGGATCAAATAAGAGCCAAAGATGAATAGTGATCTGGTTTAAGAAAAAGAGGGTGTTAAGTTAACTAAATCATACTTTAGCAGGTTAAGTGGATTCCAACAATACTTCGGGAGACTAAAATGGAATTCTTTGAATATTCTTTTCATTGCTGAAGGTGGCTTGGTTTTTCTCTAATGAACACATCATCAAGAAATCTTTGCTAATTTGTAGCAAAACAGATTGAACACAAGTGCAATTCACATAATAGTTACTGGAAGTAACTTGAGAAATTAAAGACCTGAAGCATTAACAGTGTAGAGACCTTGTGACGAAAAAATTGTTTAGTGAATGCATTTATAAGTGGGCACAAGACAATGATCACAGAACAATGATTGTAGCCTCACCTCAACTTATCAGAAGGACCAAAACGCCTTTTGAAGTCTATGGATACTGCATTGGAAGGCAATGAGGCACCTGGAACTAAAGTTAATTCCTCGTCCTGCCACAGGAAACGTTCATACAGAATCAAACTTAACAGGAAGTCCAAAAAACAGAACAATGAAAAGCATTAAATAGCTCACCTTATAACAATATCTTAAATTAAGATCATTTTCGTTGTACTGAGCAGTAAGAACACCATCCAAGAAATCAGATTTTCCAATCCCATATACAGACAGCACCTTTTCGTCATCTTCATTTCTCTTCTCTTCCACTGAAACTTGACCAATAGGGAAGTGGAATGTTGCCCTTGGCTGCCAAATAAAATAAAAAAGGTGAAACCTTTCACATTTAATAGGGTTTAGATCCCATATACTATTAGCCAAAAGAGAAATTGATGAAGTGTCTTATTTAACAAGAACATACATGAGTATAGTATTCACAAAATCTCAGAAATGCAACTTTAAGATACATGGTACATTCATGATGCAACTAAAAATAGAAAATATAGAGGTCAAGATGCACAAGAATATTTAAGATAACACAGTCAAAATAGTATTTGAATGGTCAGTATTTTCATATTATGAACCTCTTTTTACTGTTAGGAGTAGCGTTTCTAGTATTTCCCAAGGTGATACCAGAGCATGGATGAACTCACTAGTTTTATTCCATGACAACAAAAGATCATGATTTATCTGAATGCACAACATGACAGCAGCTTAATAGGACATCTGAACCTTGTTAGAATAGCTAAACTATTTGAGAAAGGATAAAAAAATGTCACCAGTAAAGGAACCTAGATACTCACCAAACCACTGTAAGGCACCAAAGATGATATCTCCATTTTATACAATGGATCACCCAGACTAGTTATCACCGAAACTTCTCCTTGTTGTGCCTGAGAAACCAAGGAAAGGCACGTTAAGGGGAAAAAAACTCTCTAAAGAGAGTAAAAGTACGAAGTTTAAGTGCAACTAATATGCAAATATTATTTGCTGACCACTTGTAAAGGCGTTCCTTGACTCAAATTTACGGCGCAATACCTTGACATCGTGCGAGGCACGGAGCTGGACGGCGCCTCCAGGAAGCGAGCAGTCTCCGCTGAGCAGCGCGTTGCGTGCCTCGACATCGTAGAGCACAGAGAAGTGCTTGGTGATGAGCCCCACCAAAGGCGCGGTGAAGAGCTGCTGAAGTGGGTCCCCTTCCTCCCCGCCCCCTTGCCACTGGCCCTGCGGGTCGCTCTGGAAGGAGAGCCGCAGCTTGGCGAGGTCCCCCGCGAGCTTGCACGACACCTTGTTCACGAACACGCCCTCCTCGCTATCGTACTCCGTGGTCACCCGCAGGCTCGGCAGCCTCCGCGGCCGTGAGACCACAGGTTCCGGAGATGGCAGCGGGGGAGGAGGCGGCGGCGGAGGCGGTGGCGGTGGCGGCGGGGGCGGGCAGAGGAAGGTGAAGGGGCAGCGCAGCCCGCTGAGCCATGGGGGGAGCTTGATGTTGAGATTAAGGGGATTGGGGTTCTGGGCGGCGGTGGTGGCGGAGGTGGTCGTGGCGGCGGCGGACGCCATGGGGGCGGCGGAGGAAGCGAAGCGAAGCGGGCGGAGTTGGAAGAATCGGAGGACGAGGGAAATGGGAAACTTTCCGGCATGGGATTCGGGAGGCCTAGGAATCGGTAGTTTTTCGATTTAGGACCCGGATCTATTGCTTATTCCAGCTAGGGCACTGCTTGGATGCTGACAGGACTTGTTGGAGAGATCCAGGATACAAGTGAAATTACGAATATATCCTTACTAAAGTTTTCTTAACATCTAATAATCACACCTTGTGAATAGAGAAAGTTAATTTGCTTCAAAATATAAAAGGCTAAAAAATAGCCGGACGTGCACTTATTTTTAGATAAATTTTGAGTGCTAGAAGTACACTTATCATGAGACAGAGAGAGTACATCAGATCTATCTCTTATAAAAACTAATCTTGACTCTCAATTCTATCTGATCTTATGGGCGATCCACTTCATCAATCAATCTAAATCAGTCTACTCATATTTACTAGCCAAATCCGTCCGTTATTTGATGGCCATTCGTTGTCTCGTTGTCTTCCATCCCCGATAACAAACATTAATTAAAAATCAATAAAGGGTATTGATCTACAAGAGTTTAAGACAATGTAATCCTCTGTCCCATTTGTTGTTTAATCTGGTAGCTGTCCCATTTACAAGATAGAGAAATCAAGTACCTAGGCCATGTTTAGATGGCCACTGAATCGGCGCCGCCAAATTTCGTCGATACACTGTAGCTACTGTAGCGTTTTGTTTTTATTTGGTAATAATTGTCCAATCGTTAACTAATTAATCTCAAAACGTTCGTCTCGCAAAGTACAACCAAACTGTGCAATTAGTTTTTGATTTCGTCAACATTTAGTACTCTATGTATGTACCGCAAATTTGATGTGACGGGGAATCTTCTTTTTATATAGTGCCAAATTTTAAAATTTGAGGGAACTAAACATGGCCCTAATGAAAAAATTTGAACACAGCACGGGTACTTTCGGCGAGTTTTGAAAGTTTGTCACATCGAAGGTTTCAACATGCGTCAAAATTTCCAATATTGCGCACACGCACAGTCCTAAGTAAACTGCGTTTGAAGCTGCCTGCTTCTGACACCTCGAAAGTTCCGATAAACGTCGAAAGTTCCGATGTCGCCTAGAACAGCTAGAATCTACTTGGATCTCACCCACTCAATTCTACTTCTACTATGGGCTACTTCTAACGATCGTACGCCTCATTTATTTCGACCAACATGCAGCCAAAGCTCCCACTTTTCCTAATCGCATAATCAAGGACGCGCTGCCACGGCTGCCACTTGTGACTGTTGTGAAACTAAATACGGCAGTCAGCTTGATTCTTTCGACTCCAGCTTGTAATATAAAGAAATTATTAATTTAGAAACACATCTAAATACGGCAGTCAGCTTGATTCTTCATTTGTTTGTATGGATAATGGATTTCATTGGCCGGCCTAGAGTAGTTCATATGCGACAGGAGGGAGCGATAATTCAAACAGTGCAGTCTATACTCGGTAATAAAAATACTACGAAACACGACAGGGCGAGGGAGAGTCCAATAATGCTGTGATTTTCGGCCCGTTCACTAATTGGTTTCCAGACTAGCTGGTGTTGATTTGTTGTTTGGAAAAAAATACTGTTGACGCCCTGACCAGCCAACGAACAGGCTCTTTAGTACATATATCACTGTATAGCATTGGCATGCTCGGCACCGCACGCCTGCAACGCTGTGCTCTCTGCCCGCATGCGCCCCGAGCCGGCGCCCGCACGCCTGCAAAGCCAGCACCGATTTTGCGCCATCTTGTAAACCTCGACGCGGTAGCACCATCTTCTCTTCCTCCCACTCCCTCCCGGTTGGCGTCACCTGGCTGCTCTGATTTTGCGCCATCGCCGATTGGATCTGGCGTGCTCCGAACCATGGTCGGAGGAGAGTGGAGACTTCAGTAGCAGCATGGTGCGGAGAGGGGGCAAAGGTAGGTGACGGCCTTGTTCTGTTGCATGGAAGAGACATGGGGAAGAGAAGCGACCGCTGCACTCACATGGTGGACCGGCAAGGTTTTTGCCTCTCTTCTGCACATCTTCAATCCAGCATTGGAAAATAGTCTGGGTGCCTCCACATCTGGGTGCGGTTCTTCCATTTTATAGGGGGGAGACTTGCAGCTTGTTCGTTTGATCGTAAACGATCGTGGATTATAAGTCAGAATAATATTTTTCTCTTACATCAAATCAGCCAGCGGTAACAATCCACGATCGTTTCAGCCGAAACGAACAAGCTGTTGATTGCCGATTTGAATTATGCGTGCAGGAGGTGAGGAGGTGAAGCGTAAGGGTCGACCGAGCTGCGTTCGTGCGGGGAAGGACCATTACTCCACGATAGTTTCTTCCTTTCTGCAGTGAAGGAGATAATCAGCAGTTGGTTGGTTCGTTCCATTGCTGGTTCGTGAAGAAATACTGCTGGTTGATTTGTGTGAGAGAAAAATACTGTTTCGGCTAGAAATTTACGATCGTTTACGACAAGCCACAGCCAAACGAACAGGCTGAATGTTGGCCAATGGTGTTCTGTTGAGGGTGGATGCTGACGTGGCTTCACGAGAAGCCAGGAAAATATGCTAAGGGCATGTACAACGGGTCTTCAGAAGCCGTCTCTACGATGTATATTTTGCAAAAAGCACCCCACCGATACGAGGAGACGGGGTCGGCGTCGTCTCGTGAGACGACGGGAAGTCCGCTGTTCGAGGTCAAACGCCGACTCTGGCGGCGTTGTATGGATCACATCCCCTACTCGACCGCGCGCGGATCCCGCTCTCGCAGGGGGTTCAGTTTTGGCGCGCGAAGGGAAGTGTCGCGCCAAAATCGTTCCCATCTCGCCGCTTCCCTGTTGTTCGCCGCCGCCGAGACGCTTCCTTCGATCGGTGCCTCGACGACGCCGGTAGCTGCTTTGGGCGTCGGCTGGCACCGGCTTGCCGCCGCCATTGCACACCTCGACTCGGTGCTCGGCGTGTCCGTCCCGCTTGTCGCACTGGGTGCCCTCGCCGCCGCCAAGACTTGAGTCAACACGCGCGCTCTGGCTTCTTTTGGCTGGAGCAGCTGGGCTCGAGGACGAGGCGGAGCTCTTGCAGCCCCCTGCTCGGGAGTTAAATCGTCAAGATGTTCAGGGAGGCCGTCTTTGGCTCTTTGGCCGAGCTCATGATGGGTGTGTACGCTTTGGTGGAGACGGGGTCGGGGGCCAAGAAGTGGGGATCGAGGAACAAGAAGATGCGCTAGTGGCTCAGGTTCAATACGCGCCAGCTCGCAGGCAACATGAACGAGAAGATCAGCTCCTTGCTTCCTTCCTTTGTTTTTGATGAATCTGTGGTCAATTGCTTTTGTCACGTCGTAGTTGGTGCGAGTCTGTGATCTCTACTGATTAGTTCTTTATAAGTTGAGGAAAAAATCAGGAAAACCAATGTTTAGATCATATGTCAAGCATTAGCAAAATTGTTTTCTTCTTGGCTATTGCAATATCATATTAAACCAAGATCACTGCAGATGATATATCATTGTTTTTTTCTTGGCTATTGCAATATTCTTCTATCACATTAAACCTAGCTGTGATGATTTAAAAAATATTGTAATTATGTTGCTCTTATTTATCCTTGATATATTTTTTATTAAATAGCCACATAATGTTATATAAATATTTATTTATAGTTGATCTTAGTTACCTGCAGAGCATTAAATAGCTTAGAGACATAACTCCGTCTGTGGGTTGTATGACCGATCTTTATACTTGTCTGTATGATAGATTCGAGGCACTTAGAGACGGATCCCTGTCTGTGAGTTGTACATGCTCTAAGGCCTTGTTTAAATCTAGAGGCTAAAAAATTTAGGCGTGTCATAACGGGATGTCACGTGGAAGTGTTCGAATAGTAATAATAAAACAAATTATAGAAGTCCTCAGTACTCCGCAAGATAAATTTATTAAGCCTAATTAATTCATCATTAGCACATGTTTACTGTAGCACCACATTGTTAAATCATAGACTAATTAGGCTTAAAAAATTCGTCTCGCAAATTAGTCGTAATCTATACAATTAGTTATTTTTTTAGTCTATATTTAATACTCTATGCATGTGTCCAAATATTCGATGGGATAGAGACTAAATTTTAGAGGGAGAAACTAAACAAGGCCTAATAGGATCTCCTATTTAAGTATAGGAGATTGATATTTTTGAAAGCAACGAAATCAACTAAAATATAAATATTTTTGTGAATGTTAGGAAAAGTATGTAAATGTTTTCTAAAGGAAAGCACCATACAGTCTTAGTGCAAAGGTATTGCATGGTTAGCAACGGTAGATGGATATATATTGGTCCAAAAATTCTAGGAAGGTAGTCTGGCTCTAGAGATTTGAGAGATCCTAGCCACCCATTTTGCCTCTACGATTCAGATGTGATTTCAATTTTTCAACGAATCATTCTATTAAGTCTTTGCTTAAAATTGAATGGTTCATTCTTTTTTCTTTACTCCAATGCCAACAATATATTTTTTAAATGGTAAGCATTATTACTACTATTTCAGTGTTGGTATATATCAATATTGCTTGTGTTCATTTATTGATGTTAAAATCTTGTCTGTAGCGCCGTAAGTTACAGTATAGTGTGAACTACGAAGGAAGCCCGCACGGCCGCACCCCCTCCATATTACTCTAGCTCCGCCCCTGTTTCCGTCCATCCCACGTGCAATTTCCTATCGGTGCGATTTGACACGTGCAGCTCGTTGGGACGTCCGATCTCTCCTCCCTCCTCTCTCCTCTCCTGGATGGTCCCGAGGTCTACGACCGCCTCCCATCCACTCTCACGCCGCCATGGCCACCTTGCTCTCCACCCGTCCCAGCTCCGCCCCTCCCATCCCCCACGCAACTCCTCCCTCTCTCTCCCTCTGGCAGCTACGGTGCCGACGAGGTAGGCGGGCTCCTCCTCCTCCTGGATCCATGCACACTGGAGACGAAGACGACGGTGTGAAAG